GTTGGTTGCCAACGCGGATGTGGAGATGCGACAGACAATGCGGGTAGAGGGTTAGTGGTAACATCGGAGAGCCATCAATCGTCACTAGTTACATTCTACAGGCGTTTAAAGCGCTCCGAAGCTTCGCTCCGATTAAATTACGTCGACATTATTAGTTAAACGATTTATTGGCATTTTAATTAGTGCTCTTAAACGCTGTGGCTTAGCTGTAAAATCCGATTTACGCAGCGTGAAAGGATGGATGCTCTCGCGCAAATTGGATTTCATGTTTGGAAATATTAATCGTAGATTAAAAATGAACTTCTGTTTAAAACAATATAATGAATCGTTCCAAAATTATGAGCGCTTACAATATGTTTGTGACTTGTAAGTAAAAGCTTAACATACTGTTTATGGTTGTGTTAAACAATTGCGTGGGAGAATGTCGTACAAACATAGAAAGTTGGCGTCTTTCGGATGTCCAGATAAGAAGCTTTCATTCTTTGAGAGCTTAAAGGGCACGTGAGTCTCGAGTTTTTGGAAGTAGTGAGATTGACTGACTAAAGTTTGTGATGTTGGGCTATTTTACTGGAGGAATAAATTGGACCTCACTTAGTCATGTAACTGTTTTACAATGAAACTAATCGCCTAATTTGATTTTGATGATCTCTGAAATCGTACAAGGAAAATGGCAATTGAGTCAAAGTACAATACAATAGCGTGTTATCGTCACGTTTTGAATCAGCACCATTACAATGATGGTTCAAAGAATCGTTTACGGACTGTTGTTGCGGCAAAAACTCATGGTACGTATGACGGACGTGGGTGACGGTCAACGAGGCTCATTGTTGACTGGACGAGGAAGGTTATGACAAAATCTTAGCTGAGTTCTATGATAAATATTTAACCCGTTTAATCGATGACCAGCGCTACCGTAGATTGCCTCCAGGTAGTACCTTTTCTATTGACGAATAACTTTCATTTTATTCTACGTAATTGAAAATACAACCGACACAAGCAAATAAAGCGGCTACGATTTGCAAGCCGGTAAAAGGGTTAGTTATAGCTTATCATCAGATCACCTTAAGTATAAAACCTCGTATCCTATCCACCAATTAAAACTTTTTTTTTCGTACTCAAGTTTTTGCAGGATTGCCTTGAGCGTTCCATCATATAAGGATATGGCATAACGCATGACAGCCAACCTGCGCAGGCGCGTGTTTAATCACACGTTAAAGAATCGCAACGTGATTTAGAAACCGGTTCAACTTAATATCAGGTTTCTGGACCGCGTAATGTACATGTTAATGGTGTGGTTAAGACTTATTGGTTTCATGTGCAATTTGATTCATTGTTTTAGCCTAACATTGTTTGGATGTTCTGACTTCATCCTGTTTATTTTCCTCGTTATTATTTGATTATTTGTATATGCTAAAAAATACAGGCAAGTCTTAATAACAGTATACGGGCAAAGTAGGTACAACATTATAGTGCTAGCTAGTTTGTGGTTTATTTGTAGTAAGCTATTTCTGCATTTTATCATGAATGCTAAAAGTATGTAATAACTATCTATTTAACTACATGGCTTTTTATAGTGTTATGAACTTCTAGACTCTACTTAGGTGGCTCATAAAAATGGAAATTTTATTTTATTTCTATTTACAGACAAGCAGCTGCTTTACAACCACCTGTGCTATAATAATAGGTACCTGAATATTACATCATTTGCACTAACAATTTTCAGGCGAAGCCTACAACATTCACTTCAAGTAGTTCACGCTACATTAGTCTTTATTTACAAACAAAAAATACGTGGGACAATAAACAATCGCCTACACATGTAGAAAGAAAAACTTAAACGAAATGACAGACAGTTACCATGTGCTTCTCACCTACGCAAATGTTAACAAATATATCTACGAATGCAAACGCGATTACGACATACACGTAACTTGTACAGTCTTTAACCGGATCCATCGCATGCAGTTTAAATCCCATACAAAACGTAACATTTTACATTCAAATTGAAAATTAAACGTATTACGTCTCACAATCTCGTTATAAAAATCCATCTGAATAAAGATGGATCAATTTAGCTTCTTCATCTTCCAATTTACGATCAATTTGGGCATCAATTAATTTTAAGAGAGTATTTTGAGTAAGGTTACGTATGTATGTAGCCAGCTTTGATTCGAATTCGGTCAAGTACTACAACAGTCTAAATTGAATAAAAGCTGCTTCGGAGAAAATTTGCAATGTAGATCGTTTAACCGTATGCTTGCTGGGAGCCAAGATTATAACTGCATAGTGAATAGGTGCCAGAATTTTAAACAGAACACCTGCAGATTTGCAAGGTGTAACATAATAAATGCATTAAGAAAACATACTTCAAAGTGATAGACATCTTGGAACGAAACTAAACTTGTTCCAAATTTTCGTTTTATTTTGAAATTGACTTGACAAGCTCTACTCGAAATTGAATCATGTTTATTACATTTATTCAGCCAAACGGTAAGTATTGTGAAGGACATCCTTTGAAGTAGAGATCGTGACTGTCTCATAAAAAGTACACAGTTGAACGATACAGTGATCTAACTTTCTTGAAAGAACGAATGGTCCCATCTTTTTCGTAGAACATGGCTGAGTACTCCCAGGAAAACACAATGTGACGATTCATTGAAGCAGTCAATCTATCAATTAGCAGTATTAGGGATATTGTAGCCGTCCACACAGATTACCAATAAACACATGTATGGGAAGATTAGGTAATTGTTGTGTCATAGCAATTACGGTTCTTTTACTCTCAGATAAAGCAGGAAAATAACAAAACATCTCACAACACGACAGGTGCTAATGAAACATACGTGGTCATTACACGTGGAGAATAAGATTCAAGATAATAATATAGAATAAGGACTCAGAAGCCAAGGCCTAAGTCATCAAGAAACGTGAAGGGAAACCTGAAATCTTTGCTCTCCGATACTTTTATAGGAGAAAGTTATATCTTTTTAGAAAGCTTTGTAAGTAACTTTTGTTTTACGGTTATATAGCAAAATGAGTATTTGGAAAAACGCAACTCTGTGATTAAGTAGTGAAATCCTACACAACGCGGAATGCAAATGATTATGAACTATTCAAGGTTGTGTGGTTGATAATTGCCATTAGAGCGGGCTTTATTATACACGGCCACAAGACTATGACACGTCTGACATGACTAGTTTGTGTAATATTAGCACAAAACTACCTAGCTTGTAGGTACTTATTAGTTAGAGCAAAAACCAGCAATGTTTTAGTTTCATTATTTTTTGCCGATTTGTACATGAATAAAGTGCTCGCAATTATGGGCATGATGTCGTAATTTCCTGATAAATATTTCTGCAGAATATACTGGATTCATTTTATTTACATTCCTGAGTACATTTGGAGGAATGAAGTAATATGAAACCTCATCATATTTCAATAGTGATGAATATAAAGTCAGATATGTTCTGACGTCAATGTCAGGACGCTATAGATTATGCGTAGAGCAGACGTGACTCGGAGAAGGAATCGTATCGACCGACGATTAGGAAGACCTACAAGAGTTCAACCAATAACAATATCACGTACACAGATTCAACTGAGCGTGTACTCCTGCGGCACTATTGTGTTGGTGGGGCCTTTCTCATTGTACTCATTGTCAAGCTTGTCTATGTCTGTGACATTACAAATGTACGTGATAGTGGAACTCTATGTAACGAGTTTTTGCGTCATGTGAACGTTGTGCTATGCGATAATGATACGTCACAATCTATACGTTCCTTGTCAGCTGTTTCTAAGAAGCTTGTTTAAGATTCCTCCACTAAGCCCGGTGGAATTTGGGATCAAGGTTCGGCTAGTCAATGTCTATCTTTTGCAATTCCCCGTAAGTGCGGTTTCGTGTCGCATAAAAATGTAACACGCATCTACTATGGTATTTCCGATGACTAGTGGGTTAAAGCTTAGTAAAGGGCACTTATAGAAAATTTTAACGATAACTTGAAGATACTTATTAAGCTTCAAATCATTCATAATTATTAGTGAATAACAACAAACGCAATATTTGCTAGCTGAATGAATAATGCAATCAATTGTTTTTATTATAGACACGCGGCGCAGATAAACCACAATGATATCTAAATCGGCACATTAGTTTTATACACATATAACCTAGTTCGATATTTCCATGGCTAGTTTGATTATGAGCAATAAAAAGTGTCGATAGGCGTCCTGATTTACAGTTTCCTACATTGCCAAACACGCTCGTAAGACCAAGCAAACGGAGCATGCACGTATCAACGCACGGGGTATGGTACACGCCCGATAAGCCCAAATGTATGAACAACATCTGTTTTTTAAACTGCGCTCGTGTCTGTGGTGTGTACATTATTTATTCCATGTTGCCATGTTTGCATTAAACACTGGGGAGTTATTCTATTTTCGGTCTCTACGTCTAGTTTCTACAAAATTGTTGTCATTAATGCCAGCGGTTCAGCTCTCGATACGAACTTTCGTAATTCCGGCATGATCGCAACAAGTATCCTTATAAAGCGATGGAATGTAAAGTCGACATTTTTTCGTTCATCGCAGCCGTTCGACAGCCAAAAAGCATTTTTTATTGCTGTTTGGGAAAACCTGAAATTTTTTAACTATCCGTTGGATTTTATGGTGTGTTTAAAATTAACGCGCCGTTTATGAAACAGTTAAATTCGTGCGAGACGTATAGGGAAGGGTAAATTATGTCTAGAATTTAATTACTAACAACATTAGCGTCGTAATTAGTAAAACATTAATGATAACAAACCACCTATTGCACAATGTAAAGGGAGAAGAGATAGGAAAGTAAATTAGAACGTACCATTTCTTTCTTGAGATAAGCGAGTTGTGAGTCGAGATCTGTGGGTGGTTTGTCTGATGGCGGTGATGGGGTTTCTTGGAGGTCCGGTTCACCGTCTGCGAAGCCACTGAGACTCTTCGGCAGAGGCGGTAGTCCTTGCAGAGACATGGTGCTGATTGCGCGGAACTGCTTACGAAGTCTGAACAAAAATATTGAAATAAGATAATGATAAATACCAAAGCAATATTTTTAAGTTGATCAGTGTAAAATATATAGTCAGTTAAGTTCAAGTTATGAGATTTCTTAAAGGGACATAAGTGTGTACTTGTTATCTTTGAGTTTAATATTTTTTTTTTGTTTTCGTTGTATTTCTTCTTTTTAGTAATATAAATATGTTTTTTTTTTAAGTAGATTAAGCCTCACTGCCGAATTGGGAAAATCCTGTAATGAGAGTGTAGGAATATTTTTATAATAAATAAATAAATTTATAATTACAAAAACTACCACTTTTAGTAATTATTAACCAAGACTAAGTTCTGAATAAAATTAAATGACCACAATGTCGTGTACAACTAATGAAACTGCAGAAATTACACAAAAATTTTCTACCATTGTAAATAACTGTAGATGGCAATTGCCTTTAGCGTTGTATTGTTAGTTTAACGACCTAGTATTGACGAGAATATTGGCGTTCACAGCCGGGTTTAATGAAGCTGTATGACCTTTACACACAAACCACAACGCACCCATAGCAAAAAGGAAGTACAATGTAACGATTTATTCATAAGATAAGAAATATTCAAGTTGCTATTAATGGAAAACACACCTAGACTTAAGGTCATCGTCGAGTATGTATGCGTAAGCCTGATCATCGTCTGTATTCCCGCTGGTTACTGAAGACATGGCATAGTTTTGTTCGGAGTCCTCGGAATCACACTGTCCATTTGTTTCTGCATACTCCGGTGCATCCAATGATTCTGGCACGTTAGATTGTGAGCGCATCGTTTGCAATTCGTATATCAACATCTCGTGGTTGTTCATGTCTTTCATCTTTTCCATGTCTGGAGTATCGTGCCCGTTAATCTTCAAACTTTCTTTCCCTTATCTATTACGGTGTGCGCTTCGTCTTTGTCGTTATTTCTACTAGCAATGATCTCTGAAATTAACATTTCTGTCACTCTCGATGTTTTTCTTTCCAATGAGTTGGTATTTTTGTTTACATGTTCATCAACTTTGGGACTTTCTGGAACATGTTGAATCTCCTTAGGAGTGTTCAATTGTTTAGACGGACTGTTTCTCAGCCTGTCATCAAACTCTTGCATTTCCTCCACGGACGCGTAAGGTGCTTCTGATACTGGACTCTGTGTAGGCCTCGCATCAATTGGAGATGAATAAGGACTTATGTCTGGTGAGATCTTAGTTTTACTGCTATGTATAGGACTTTTATTTACAGGCAAAGGCTTCATTGGTTTTAACTTAGGTTTTGGGGACAACGGAGGCGGAGGTGCTTTTCGTAAAGGTAGAGTTTTCTCTGCGAAACTAGATGACTTTGATACTTTGCATTTTGAGTCTTGATCCAATTTATTCGATGTTGAAAGAGATCTTACTAATATTTGTCTGCAGGTTTTGACTGCTTTAGAGTTTAGTGATTCATTAGACTTTTTATTCGATGTTGGAGTTGGAATAGAACTACTGTCGCTGGAGCTTCTTCTGGAATTTTGACCACTGGATTTTCTTTCATCTGAAGACGAGCTTCGATCGCTGATTACATCTCTGATGAACGACTTCACTCTTGCTAATCCGTTTTGTTTTGGTGACACTGTTGACTCACTGACAGTATTGGCTCTATCCAAAGTTTTAGATCTTGACGTATAGTGGTTCTCCTGCTTGGAGAAGGCACGCGATTTCGTAAAGCTAGCCTTTGAGTCCGCAACGGCCTTCCTCGTTTTTGCCAGTGCCTCCGCCACCACGCTCTGGTTAGGCCGCGGAGGCACTGGAGGTGGTCCTTTGATCTTGTTGCTCTTCATCGGTTGTGTGTTGGTTTGTACCATCAGCATGCTTGAAGTAAGCGTCACTCGAACAATACTATAATATACGTACTATAGTAGAAGGAGCACGTAACACAAGCACCGCGTAAGTCACACACACGAGAGCGCTCTGTACGCAGGGCGACACGACCGTCCCCGCGGGCGCGCGGCACTCACTGCCTCACCGTGCCACCGGCGTGCCGGCTCACCGCTACGCCGCCGCCGCTCCAGCGCTACGCCACACAACTTCGTAATAATTACCGACCGACTTGGAAATGACTTTGTTCGTAGCTTTACCATGGTATTGCGTGTTCGGTAGTTTGCGGAGTACGTACCATACAGCCTAACAATGAGTTGACCCACACTTTTAATAATGTAAAAGTGATTGTTTACTATGAGAATGAATGCAACTGTGGCTACCGGTCCGCGGCGCACACGACATGGCTATTGTTGATGATGTTGAAAGCACTCTCTGACCTATTGTTTTATGCCAATCAAAATGTTACACTACAGTTGTTGTTTATAAGTATTTGGGTTGGAAGATCTGTTGTACATTACATGTTGTGTAACTCCTGTACTGTCCTATAGGGTTTAAATGTTCAAGGTTCATTGTACATTGATTGAAGTATGTACTACATGGACCTACATGGCTCATTTAATTTATGTATCAGTCCAAATGCATTTCTTTTTGGTTTCTAATTTGAGTCTAATTTTGACCAGGGATATGAAAACCTCCAACTTTAATGTCTCATAATTTTGTAAATAATACTGTTTCTGTTTACAATATAACTTGCACACACACAAGTATGATTCAGACTAAAACTATTTTTGACACTACAACATGTTCCTTGATGATGTCATACATTTACAATATTAGATAACACATTTAAAATACTTATGCAAATTAAGTGAATAAAATAATACATAGACTTTACAAATACATATGTAAAAGAACTACATTATACATGCCAATTTTAATAATATGAAACTTATTCAATTTGGTTTTTGTGCATAATAACAAAGACTTTAAATATTATTAAAAACTATTTTATGGATTTAAGAAATCTATTTATTACATAAGCACCTTTATGTAACAAAATTACTAGTATTTGAAACTATGATAAAATTTCTTAAACTTTCAAAATGCTGCTAATATACTATACCTATTTGTAATTAATTTGAATTTATTTTTAATCTAGATTCATAGATTATATTAGGTAAGACATTTCTATTTTTTTTTCTAATATTGGCATGAAGTTTTAACCAAAGGGATATAATTATACTAATATGATAAACTAATAGTACACTCCAAGGATGTTGAAAAAAAAAAGAGTGTACTCCTTTTTAAAAGGCAGGCAATGCACCCATGACTCCTCTGATGTTGTGGGTGTCCATGGGCGGCGCTGATTGCTTACCATCAGGTGATCAGTCTTGTCTGCCTCCTATTCCATAAAAAATTCAGACATAGTCTCTTGAAACAATGACTGTAACACCTAGCTACTAAAGACTAACATGCAGAACATACACACTTTGACACAAAGGACATTCGTCATTTTATTAAGTTTGATGAAGTGGTTCACATAAATAGCCCACCGACATTTTGGTACTTCAATCACTCCTAAGTGACATTATGTCTACCTCTTTGTCAACATCCTTGGTATATTCGACAAGTTTGTATTATGATAAAAGCTGCGGGCTTAACAGAGATCAAAAGAATAATTTAGCTTTGGTTCTGTTATGGCATACGCTGAGGTACATATCATACTGAAAGTGTCACATCACATTCACTTTTCCCCAGTCTATGAGAATCAACTTTTTTCGAATGTCTGAGTTTAAATTGTTTTTAATTATCGCTTGTCCAAGGCTGTATTAGAATCTCATTGCTTTTAACAGATTCAGTAACCAATTTAGATGTTTAGACTAAATACAAACAAAACTTATTACAAACAATACATGACAGCAGACTGGCAATGAATCATACAAATTACGTAAAGGGATTACACAATGACCTTTACTGACAAAATTAATAAAACAAAAATAGTTATCTTACTTGACAAGAGTCTATTTGTTGTTGAACTTCCAGTCCTGTCTGCACATGGGACACTGTTGCTGGGGTTGGGAGTGCAGCCACTTCACGATGCAATGGATGTGGAAGCAGTGGGAGCAAGTGCCCCACACCAAAGGGCAGTCGTCTCCAGGGAGCTTGCAGTCAGGGCAACAACTATCAAAGGGCATGCGACAAATGCCACAGTTATCGTCGTTAGCTACCCACCGCCAAGTCGCTACGCCCGTCCAACCTACGCAATTAACGTTCGCGTGAAAATAGGATACAAATAACAATAAAATAGACACACTGAAACTGATTACTTGGCCGTTGGTTTGACAGGTTAAGGTTACTTACTTTTAATGGTTACTTTCATATCACGAATCTTGCATACCGTTGCAAATCTAAATTAAATTGTAGTTGTTTTTGAGCGGATTTACTAAAACTTATTAGTACAAATATTTAAAGAAAATATTCAAATCACAAACAAAATAACAACAATCGATAAATTTGACAAATATGACTGACAGTATCACTGTAGTGAAGTGACAGTTGACAGCCAGACGGACAACACAGTTTTTTAATTTTTCTCAATAAACATGATAATGAGCTAATTTTTTCTATTATTTCTGTTTCTCGGTTCAAAAATAAAGCTGTAGAAATATAAAAATTAAATGCCTTATTTGTCTTATTCACATTTAAATAACACGATAAAATGGAGTTTGCTTCTTGTCTTGATATAATTTGTCAATGTTTCCAAACGTGATTTCTGACAGGTTTTGAGCAGAGGCAATACTGTACAAATGACAGGAAAATCTTCAAAGAGTGTTTGATGTGTTGGAGTTTATTTATTTTATCCATATTTTATTGTGTTAAAGTATAGTGGATACAATATCAAACATGACCTCGTTTGACTCTAAATACGATGTAAGTGTATGAGCATATACCTTTACAATATAAATAAAACTATTTCACAATGGAATGTCTTATTGGATTTTGATGTTACACCCTAAAAAAGAAGTATTTTATCAGCACAAGTGTAGTTTTCGTGATATTTTAATGTTAAACAATATTCTGAATTGTTCGTTTAATATTGCAAATTTATTTGTAACCAAAGATAATATTTTATGAGTCATCGGCATTTGAGCTAAAATTAATTTTTCTAATACGATCTGAGGGTGATAATGATGTTTAGTAAACATTTATTATGAATGTTTATCAAGCCAACGCACGCACAACTTCCTCTAAAACGCTGGCTGATTTAGTTTGTCATTGGTAGACCTTAATTATTACATGGGACTCATAACATAAATAGTGAAAAGTGGGTGTTACATTGTACAGTGGCATAATGTGCACCTCTGCCTACCCCTTCGGTGATAAATGGCGTGATGTTATGTTATTTATGTTATGGTAGACCTTAAGTCATAATTTTCATGGGATATTCTATGAGTGTACTTTTTCTTGTCATTTAGATGTACCCTGCAGGGGATGTAGGGGTTGTTGAGGGAGAGATGAACATCCCTACTAGGGGTGTACCATCAGGAGACAGTATGGAGTTCAACACTCTAGATGAACCCATCAAAGAAACATTTGTAAGTATAATACCTGATAAAGACCACCTAAAACATAATTTTCATTTTAAAATACTGAACCTTAGTAGATATACAAAAATATTAGTATTATTCTTGAAACTTTTTATTCAATAGGAAAAAAATAGTTACAATAATTTAGGTTTTTATCAATTAACTCGTCGAGTACCGGTTTTATAGACACAATTAAAGAACAATAGGTCGCGGTCACCGGTGACCGCTTGGTGTTTGACAGATTAATCAATCAATAAATATTAATAATGAAGGCTATTATCAGTTGGGGAACCAATATAATAGGTATTACATTATGTACTACTATTTCTAAAGTAGATCATGGGTGTATTGTTGTTAGTTTACAAAGTAGATCATGAAACAAAACAATTAGGTTTTTGAAAATGAGTCCTTTATTGGTTGTAATAGCCACCATACACTTGTTGAACATGAGATTCAGCATTAAATTTGATTCTTGAATCATTTTCTGTTCCAATTATTAATTATAAAGTTCTCAGTAAAAATGTGAAGGTAATTAAAGATTAAATTTTTAAGTACAAACTTGTCTAACTAAACCTATAGTAGAATGCTGATGGTCTTATGGATGGATGGACTCGTAAAATATAAAATGCCAAATATACATAGTCTGGAACTTGGTGGCAAAATCAAACATGTTCTATTGCACATATGACTTACTAAAGATGATTACAAGTACATTATAATAACATAATATCTATGGTATTAGATTCGTTTGTTGCCGAACAACCTGTTTAAACTTAAATCAACCTTAATCAATATTCAACCTTGCCGACAACAATATAGAATTCATTTTAACATTTTTATTCTTTAAACTAGAATTGTATTTTATTTATATAGATGTAGTTTTAGCTATTGTTGCCAGTTACCAGAATAGCAAAGAGGTGTATTACAATATAATCGTTTCGTTGTAACATAGATTGCTTATCCAGTGGGATACGGATAGAGCTATTAGACAAGTGCCCTATTTTTGTGTAGATGAAGCAAACTTAATATTGTGTGATGACTAACTTCTGAGTCTTCAATTACAGAGTTATTTTTTATTAACACTGTTTCTGTTCACTTCAATAGTACATAGTATAGTTTGTTAAAAGATATACTGTGTATGATAGGTATAAAAACGAAATATCCAAGGCACTAAATAAATAAATAAAATCTATTTTCAAAAATAATAAACCAGAAATATACAGTTTTCCTTGTATAAATAAATAAATAATTTAATTTAAGCTATATAAAATTCACAATATAAGGTGCCTGCTGCAGGCACCAGTTACACAGTTAGCTGTGAATGTTTATTTCTGAACAATTTCATTATTAACAGTATTAACTTCATCATTATTAGTTTTCATTTCACAATTGTCCATTTTAGATAAATGTAGATTTGATAAACACATAGCCATTATTAATGTTTTGATTTATGATTTCTAGCTTCGAGATCTGAGAGCAGTGGGAAATAAGTTTTACCATGTACTAATTCCTAGAGAGAAGTCTAGCTTGTTAAAGGAATGTGAGTAGCTTTTATTTATCATTTTATTTACAATCTTATTGATTTAACCATTCAAAATATTTTTTATTTGTAGAATCTCTTTTTTTTTTCATTTAAACTACAGTTGTTTTATATCGAGAGCGCGGGTGCGCCATACTTGTGTGGGTAAATGTACACGCACATTGTCTTTGTTTGCGTACGCTCGGGAACGGTCATCATTGGCCGGTTTGACAATGAATAAGCTTGCTGCGAGTTACGCACACAAGCGCACGTATGTGCACTACAACTACAACTATGGCTCGTGAGATTAAAGAACCGTCCAATTTCAAAGATGGCGTTACTTAGATTTTATGTATTTGAAAATACTTATGTAGAGTACCATATTAGATTCCATTTATATTTTGTAATTTTGTAAGTATGTAATGCCATAAAAGTAGTTTTGTGCCATCTATGTCTAGCTGATTAGCTAATACATCACTAAATTGCTTACATAAAATACTTATTACTTACAATGTAGAAAATTGGATTTCAAATGTCTTTTAATGGTTTGATTTGTATCAGTGATTTGAATCACTGTTATCAAGCTTAAGTACATCGCAAGTAATGGGCGTTACTCTTTACAATGATAAGAAATTAAACAAATGTAATTTATTTTTTTTATTTAGTATTTTTTATACATTTTGAGTACAGTTCTGCTAGCTTTATTCTTAATTTGTTTATTTAAGTGGTTTACATACTTAATATGTTAGTTGGAGCAGCTGAATAATATAATAATGCATAGTATATTATTGTTTATTATACAATATGTCAACTGAAGTGTCTATGATATTTGTTATAGAATATTGTTATAGATTATTACATAAGAGTAATGGAATACATCTGCCTATGCTTTATTTGCAGATTAGTAATAAATAATATATCTAACAACTAAGAAAAACGATGCTAATAAAGTTCATTTTAAGAATGTAGATAATATGTCTCCACTCTGCCTTATCTTAATATATATTGTACCTTATAGTATACCTGTATTTTTTTTTACTGTCCTTTAAGGTTATTTTTTACGATCTTTTTGCCTGTGTGTTACATTGTTCTCGCACAATCCAAACAACAAAACTATGTAACTAGAGAATTGTATTGAAAAAGACTTGATTGAAAAAGAGTAACCTATGGATTTTCTTGCTTGTTCTTCTCCATAGGAATCTACACCTTGGAATGAGCAAATAGCTTCACTTTTAATTTTTTTTGTTGACATTCAAAAGTGCCTTTCTAGTCTAATTGAAATTATTGACTTTGACTTAGTAAAAGACATAAGGTTTTTTCTCCAATGTTTCCAGGGGATCTATGGGGTCCTTTACTGCTGTGCACCCTGATGGCCACAATCCTGCAAGGCACAGAGGTAGCTGACAACACTAATGATGGTGGCCCAGAGTTTGCTGAAGTATTTGTATTAGTTTGGATCGGAGCTGCAGTTGTTACTTTAAATTCTAAGCTGCTTGGTGGTAACATGTAAGTGTTAAGATGATTTTTAAGTTTTCCATTTCATTTGATATGATAATGTTAGAAGATTTTGTTGGTCTGTAATAGGTAATCATATTATTTATTGAGAAGAAGAAAGAACCTATTGAAATTTTAAAATTGCTTATTGATATACATTTAAAACATACATGAAACACATTTCCCTTGTATTCCAGCTCGTTCTTCCAGTCGGTGTGTGTGCTGGGATACTGCATGTTCCCGGTGGCTCTGTCACTGGTGGTGTGTCGCGTGATACTCTTCACCACGCAGACCACCTTCCTCTTCTTCCTGAGGCTCGTCATATCCATGGTCGGATTTATTTGGGCTACATTTGGTAAGTAGCTTATTCAGCACGATTGGGCCGGCTCGACCGTTGTGATATCCGACCGAGCAGAAAATTGGCGTGAAACGAGGTAGAATTTTGTTTCGTCGTATGGGGCAAAGGCTCAATCCTCCCCCCATCTTTAATCCCAAATTCTCAAATCCCTGACGCCCGACCAGCCCTACTCCCCAACGCACTTGTTATTTCTCTAGTGTTATATTTATTTTCAATTCTTTGTAAATAAGTAAGAAATATAACGCTATTTTATTTTATTTATTTAACACTAGAGGAGTTACGAGTGCGTCGCCGCTGATTGCTTACCATCGTGACGTTATGATCCGTCAGTACTCTTAGTACGAATTTGTTTTACGTTTAAAGGAATCGAATCGAAACCGCGTTCGGCGCTCTGATTGGCTGGTTTAAGGAAACCGGCTTCAATGGAGCTCGCCCGCCCTAACTTATAAAAATATCACGCTTAGTTGGTTCTGTAAAGGCAACCGTTTCTTTAACCTTTCTGAAGGAAGATTCCTATTTAATAATGCAAATCACTTGATTAGGTTTCAAATTACGGAAGGTATCGCGTATTATGACGTCACGAACTGCTTAAAAATCGATAACATACATAGGAAGGTACTTTGGTACTAGTAACGGTTTGCCATTGGTGATTACAGTATTATAGAGTTGTTAATTAGTAAGTACCTAAGTATTGCAGTTTATGTGTGGGTAATAATATTTATTGATGTTTTTCTAAACTAATAGCAATCGTTGAATGAATTTGGTTTTGATTTGTTGATATATTTATCAAACTTAATTGTGTGAATGTGTCCAGACAATGTGACTCAATAACTATCGAATAGCAAGTTTATGTCTTTCCTACACAAACCTACTTATGCTAGTCGTAAACTCGTTACCATTATCAAGAGTAATAAATATCGAAAAACTGAAAGAATATAATGTTTTATCCTACCTACAGATTTTGTAACTTCGTGTTTAGTGTCAAACATAGAGAGTAATATTTATTGTTTTACTTTATTGAGAAAATGTATAACTGGGTACTTGCCAACTAATCAAATTCAATACTTTTTTCGAACCGTCAACAACGACAGCTTTCTATGAATTCTATACTAGATTGTGTATTGTGATGTCACGTTTTTGTTACCGTCAAACAGCATATTTATTTCTTAAAAATTTGCTGGAAAAATACTAATATTACGTTGGTCATAAAATCAATTAATGAAAGTGTGATTATTTTTTAATATTTTATTGTATCGAACAGTCGAAACAATTTATCTTTGATTAAAGAAAGTACCCAATTTGACTTTTTATTGAATATTGAGAGTAAATATACATTTTTTAACTTTGATTACCTCCTGTATAGCGCATTGTAGTGGCGGATTTAGAATAGAATGTACTAATGACGTCATTATTTATATTTGCAGCCGCGACAAAGTTCCTGGGCGACAGTCAGCCGGAGGGGAAGAAAGCGTTGGCAGTATACCCCATCTGCCTGTTCTACTTCATCCTATCGTGGCTCGTCGTCTCGCACAGTAACGTGTAGGACATTGTGATACAGACTGTCTAGTGGCTAGCGTAATTTGTGAATATGTTTAATTAAGTGGATCACCCCTTGACTGTACTTTAACTAATGTATTTATTTTAAAAACACGTCATCGATGTTCCGTTCATTTGGACACTTATAGCATTATTATGGCACAATGTAAACATTCCAGTTTTAAAACAACATCGACTCGATCGGTCAGTACTTTTTAAGATTGTAGATGATCGTTTTTGTATATATTATACCTATTATTATTATTATTAATTAAAACAAATATTTTCCGTCTCATGAAATTTTTATTGGTATCCTCAAAACATCAATATGTATCTAAAAATACAAGGATGATACAAATTCGAGACATTTCAGTGCGTGTTTTGCCGCTACAACATATAGGCATGTACACCGTCTAGACTAGTCATGTATTACACACTATTATGGTATAGATCACATTATTTACAACATAGAGATTTCCAAGTCAGATATCAAGGTGTTTAAATAGTAAAGATGCATAAATACACTTATGTTATTGATATTTGAAGTATTTTAATACGTTCAATAAAACACTAATATAAATCCATTATAAAATGATTGCAGTTACACTATTATATAGTTGGTATTGGAAATGCATTGGATCACTACGGACCGTGCGTTCATAGTAAACTTGTGCACTAATCTCATTACATTATACGTATTGTAGGTACGATTAAATCATTACGCAATCTTACAAACGAATTATCACTAATCTATCACATAAATAAATCGTAACTCTAAATGGCATGCAACGTAACGCTACACGTGAGTTGAAGCAGTCTACACTAGAACAACATAATGTCAGGGCGGCCATCTTGTTTTTAACTTCGATAACATCAAATTTTCAACGTTAATGATAGGTCCTCAAGAGTATAATTTAGACAAATAATTTATAAATACTATTCAGTCAATTTTACTAAATTATGATCTCAGTGAATAACCCTGAATAATTTCAGATTTAGTTTTTTAGAAATTAAAAAAGAGCGTCGTTTTTATTCCCTAAAGATTAAAGCTGCAGGAACGTTTTACTTTCAAATACTGACTAACTCTGTTGTTAGTGTAATGATCAAGAAGTGCGATTAATATATTAATTTCACATCAAGATATAATTCATATGTTCTACACATTTCAAATATATTTGGCAAGGATACATTTTTTTTTTCAATTCAAATTCGAACGAAGTTAACTTCACAATGAATTTTCACAAAATTTATATGAAGCCTCAGCATAGTTATTTTGTTATAATAGAATACATCATTGAATGATATGAAAAATTAACGACTACCTATGGAATTAAATAACACGACGCTTATGTATTACACTGATAGGATAAATAACGTCGATGCATTGACACACTAGACATGATGGAGATGATAAGTAAGACGAGACGTAAGATATAAGAACATACTATGTATCTATTCTACGAACTTATTATGCGATGCAAAGTCGAGTCTAGTAAGTCAATACACAAGTGTCACAAGTTGAATACAGTTTAGCTGGACTCTGAGCCGCTGGAGGTTTTGTCCGGTGTGAGGGGCGGCGTGTGACGTGGCGACGTTTTGGCGGGCATTTGGTATGACATGTGCATTTGTATGGTGTCACGAGCTTTTCGCGCGTTTTTGTACGTCAACGAATTGGCGCGCGGCTTGCGGCGGGAAAAGTGTCGTTCCACCCATTTCAACATGGCGAGCACTGAGTCCGTTGATGACAACCGCCTCTCTGCTGAAGTCTTCGTGATGTGAGACGACGCGATACGGAATGTAGCTGCCATACCTTTCAGCGCCTGGAATAGAAGACGACATGAGGTGAGTATAAGTTTATCATTTTATTAGTTCACCGAAAGTGGTAGCTATGCTTATTATTTGTTCCTCGGTGGTAAGTTGAAGTTTGCATTATAGTAAAATGCTGTCCTACTTACCAACATGGCATCTTCATCAGTGACGTCATCACCAGCGTAGATAATCCTAATCCTCTCGCTCCAGTCTAAACCGAAAGCTGTCCTCAAGATATAAATAGATGCGCGACCTGTAAAATATTTTCATTCATATAAAATATTATCTTTAAATCTTTACCCACATTTCAGTCAAAGTTCATCTGAAAACTTGTTATTATAATGATGATGTAATGTTGGTTTATCTTTCGTAATGACTAGATAGTTCCACTTGTCCTCACATATTATAAAACAAAGTCCACCGTCGCGTATGCTTGTCTATCTATTTATTTTATTTATTTATTTATAATTTCATATACCTACACCACACAGACAATATTACAAAGGACGACACACTCTAATGTCGATAAACTCAAAAATTTCATACGTTTTATAGGAATTAGTCGACAGACCGTTTGAAGCCTCAGTGAAATATAATTTGGTTAAAATTACCTTTGTCCCACTCCACTGGTGGGCGAGCTTCTAAGGCGCAATGCGCAGGTGCTGGTGTAAACCCTGCCTCCGTGATGAGCTTCCTGGCTTGTTCTGCCAGCGCAGCACGCTTCGCCACAGGTGTCTCACGGTAGTGGAATGTTAGCAGGGCACCCTTATTTTCTACCCAAGCGCCATCTTTGCAAACCTGGAAAGACGAAACAATCAATTAAGTAATGCAGCTGGCCCATTAATATTGTTTTACTACAGTTTGTTTTTTAGATTTATCGTTAGTATTCACGAAATCGCTTTAACCTGCTTCTAGTTTTGGTTGCTATTAGACTTTCCTATTGTATTTATAAGAATAATTTCTCACCTGTTCTTGCAGGGCCTTAAGCAGATCAACGACGGCGTCCTGCAGTTCCATGGGCATGGGGTGCACGAACTTGGATCCATCAGGATGCAGGATCTCCAGACCGTGGTTACCCGCGTATGTGATACCTTCGATGCCCACCTGAGAAGAATATGTTAATTGATATTGTTTAGAAGGCAAAGAAGTAATCCTACTTCAATAATTCTAAAATAGAGTAGTGTAGAATGCTTTGGCTTTGATCAAAGCTTTTGGATTTGACACTTATTCATTCGTCTGTAGCTACCTTAATCTATTTACAGATATTAACACCGCTTCTAACTGCTTTATTGATTTTACTGAAACCTACCTCAAGGTAACTAAATAAAAAACATTAACGTTTCCAAAGCGTCATACATTAGTACAATTTCCACTTCATTGCGAAATTGCACGGATACCTATTTATATCTACTCAGCAACAGGCTGCATGTTTAACATAGAATTACATTGACAAACATGGCTGCCACACAAATATTACGTAACATACCTATACGAGCACAAATGACACAAGTACATAGTGGGTTCATAACCCGGTTGTAATAACATTATCAAGGGTGCTAGGTACGTATATAATGAACAATTTATGTAAATATTTTTGTTTTAAACCGTGATAATGGCTGTCAAAGTTCACCTCGATATATTGGACCTTGTTTTTATTTGCAAAGCAAGATAGTTTCAGTGAGTATGCTCATATTACCGCTGTAATTACGATAGTTATGTTCAGTGCTGATAGTCATTCTTGAGTAACTTAGGTATCTAATCTTAACTTCCCGTTTTTCAAGACTCATTGAACTTGCCAGTATCTATTTTAGATAATAAAACTGAAGGGTACTAACATCTTTTGTGTTGCTTAAGTTAATTTTTAAATCAGGTGCTATAGTTTTCCTCTACTATATTCGTTTTTTATGTTATGTACCATGCTGTATCCTATAATTAATTGTACTTGTAATGTATATAGTGTAAATAATTGTTGGTTAACCAAAATAAATAAATACATTATCACACCAAAATACCAATAGGTACTAGAAATTTCGCACAAAAAATTACATCTGCTTTGTAAACTGTAGATCCTATTTTGAATTTCTTAAATATGAATGCCAGCAAAGGCGATCTTCAGATCCAAAAGTTAAATAAAATACATTGATTAACCGTATTCTATGTGAATATTTTTCCACCGAACAGAGTTTTTGTGCACTAACTCGATAACCTTTGTAAAATTCTCGTTTAATTTCGTCATGTACCAGATACAGCATATTTATATCGAGTTTATTCTAGTTTCTTATATAAATATTTGGATTAACTCAACCTTAATACGGTTATTACGACAAACAAAATTGATTAGGGATTATGCCAAATTAGTAATGACAACTAATAATCGCGACCTTTGTTCTTCTTTGTCTTCAATTACGAATCACGAGGAATCGATTATTTAACGAAGCTTTAAGACCTTCTATTCCAATTAATCGAACATCGAATCCCAAATATCGTTACGTATTATTCTAGTAAGTAAGACAGTGCAAGCTCACCATATTCTTAACGTTATCGACGTTTCTGCCAGAAATAATGGCAATATAAACATCGGACATGTTGGAGAGTCTCTGCAGCGTGTGTTTGGTCTCTAATGGCAAGGTCGCCAGGTCTGGGTGGGGTGCTATGGGCGCTAGGGTTCCGTCGTAGTCCAGTAAAAGCGCCAACTTCTGCGTGTAACCGATGTATCTAGTGCAAAAAATACGAATTAGACTTTGCTCTACTTTGGCCGATTAGGAGTATTCGGGAGTAAATTATTATAGTTGTAATTTTATCTTAATCACACCCCATCAAGGTTCACTGCTGGAAATAAGCCAATTCTATACGCGCCATATCACCGTATCCAGTTACGAAGCCTACTTAGGAGGTAATTAGGATGAAAAATGGTTAACTTACTTCGACAAATATTCATCGAAATCATCGATAGTGACGGGCTGCATGGACGTAGCTCCAATGTCATCAGCTTCCTCTTCCAGGGAGTCCATAGCTTTGAGGAACGCTTTCATCCAGCTGTCAACGTCATTGAGCTGCTCTCGTCTCCTTAGATGGTTCATACGGACCGTGCGCTCATCTTCCGGCATTATCAGAGCCCTGGAAAGATAATCAGGGACATGTTTACTTAAGAGTACTTTAACCGTAAAATTTTCCTCCTTGCAATTATTCCAATTGCACTACTGCAAATGGACTATTGTGAATTTAACCTTGTACTCTACGTAAAATGTCACGCTCTGTAGCTGTGCTAACTACTGCTAGATATACGAGTCAACATTAGTCAAACTAATCATGAAGATTTCCTAACAGGTACCTTAGCAACGTTATTACACGGATCGTAGTTTTTCATACTGTTTTTACGAGTCGTTCGACAACCTTGGTGTCAATAACTACGATAACCATTGACCGAAGAGAAATAACGTTTAATAATAAGTTAATAATCGTCATAAATATCGTACATCACAACGCAATTGTAGCTACGATTGACGTCAAAAAGCTCGGTTCGATAACGAGTACTGTAGGCAGTAGGCACTTGCGACTTGCTAGAAATATAGATTGCTCGTGAATTATGTGCCCTCAATTAATTGCCTTTAACTCTTCTTTGTAAAGATATCTCCAATCACATGACACCACAAGGTTTATTGGAAGAAAATAAAGGTTTAAATTGTGTTGTAACTACCTGTGAATAACTTCAGCAGCATCATCCAGCTCATACGGGTTGCAGATTAGAGCCTCGTGCATCATCTCTCCAGCACCAGCGAAGGGAGACACTATCAGTACACCTGGCGGCTTGTTGATCTGGCAAGCGACGAACTCCTTCGCCACGAGGTTCATACCGTCTCGCAGAGGTGTGACCAGGGCGACCGCAGCGTCACGGTAAAATGCTGCCAGTTCATCTTGTCCGACGCATCCATAAATGTACCTGGAAAGCAGTTCCAATTACTTAATGGGTGTTTGGTGTTTATGCGATGATATGTTCTTTGAAAGTTTGGTGGTGGGTCCATATTTTTTTAATTCAGTTACTCACCTAATAGGTGACCAGTTGGGTGTAGTAAATCTGCCGTTAATTCTTCCAACTAGCTGATCCATTTCTTCTTTTAAGTCTTGGTACTCCTTGACGTCCGTTCTGGACGGTACTGAGATTTGAAGCAGCATTACTTTCTCTATGTGTTCCGGATATTTCTCCAGTAACCGCTCGAAGGCTTTCAGTCTATGTACTAATCCTTTGGTATAATCCAGTCTGTCGACTCCTAATATCACTTGTTGGTTGGTAGAGAGCACTGGTTTCGCGTTCTGTGCCAACTGCACGAATCTGTCGAACGGTACTCCAATAGGTAGAGGTCGCACACAGATGGTGCGGCCTCCCAACTCAACCAAAAGATTCTTTCTGTCCACACGACAACCTAAGTTTCTCTGGCAGCAATCAATGAAGTTCAGGCAGTAATCAGTTATGTGGAAACCGACCATATCACACCCTGAGAACATATAATATCCCATGTTACTCCACTATTCTTATAAATACCGAATTTTTTTTTATGCAATAATAGAGTAGGTAGAACTCACCAAGAATGCCCTGAAGTACTTCATCTGACCATGGGAACAGTCTGAATATGTCCCATGGTGGGAATGGAATGTGCAAGAAGAATGCCAACTTGCACTTAATTTCATCTTCTTCAGCTCGCTGTAAGTAAAAATGTTTTTTAGAGACTGGTCGCATCTAGATTCTAGCAGTTACTCTTTGAAATATTGTCTGTTTGGACAAACCTGTCTAATCCAGTTAGCAGCTAACATGAGATGATAATCGTGGACCCATACGATTGGCGGTGAGTTGCCATTCTTTCCCTTCTGCTGTTTTAGCAAATGGAGGGCGTGGACTGTTTTCTCAGCGAACTCCTCGTTACACTTGATGTATGCCTTCCAGTGGTCTGCGATGAAGGTGGCTCTGTCAGGCATAGAGTGGAACAAGGGCCAGAAGGTACCGTTGCAGCAACCATTGTAGTAACTGTCAAAGAGTTTTGGATCGGCGTGGATTGGTACAATCTGAAATGAGGAAATAAAATCTCAGGACATCTTTTTTATGGTGACCTACGTAATATTACAATACTGGTAAATTAAAACAGGGAATTATTTTCCTTCCTCAATCTAGAAGGTAGCAATGACTACATTACTTTAATGTTTAATAAGGGTTTATGAATTGTAAACTGTATCTTTTTGTAGACATTTACACATTGCAATACTGTAATCCTTTTATAACGGTGATTGACGCAATAAAATAAATAAATAAACAGTGCCTAAGCCTAGCTGATAGCTCCGGTCACATTCATCTGTTATCTGATAACTTTAATGATCTAATGTTGGATTGGAAAATAACGTGAAGCGTGCACTTCCGTAAATTTTTCCTTTAGTATTTTAATTAATAAATACTTATAGAGCCGAACTGTATCTGCTGTGATAAAAATTGCTTAATATCTAATTGTTCGCATGCTTGCATGATTTAGTGTTAATTGTAGCATGAGGAGCATCATGATACTATATATCGATTTAAAGGAAGTGTAACGTTGTTTGAGGATTTAATATTTGATTACTCAAACAACTGTCAATGATGGTCAAAGTAAATCATAGAACGAAGAACAAATCGTATCAAAAGTCCCCATTCAGTATTTACTCGTAATTCACCCACTACAGAATGATGTTAATGATATATTATGTAGGTAGTGGTTTTACCACAAACACGGTATGTGTTAATGATTATAATAAACCGCAGTACATCCTCTACAGGTAAGCAGAGGACGTCATAAAGCACTCGAGTAAATTGGTGTACAATTTGCACTAACGAATGCACATCAAGTAATACTAAACTTTATCAATGATTTTAGACCCTATTACAAAATAGTAAAGTTGAGTGCGTATTTAAAAAAATGTTAGTTTGGGGTAGTTTGATCTGCGTTTGCATCTGTCGGCAGCACTGCATCTGTGCGTGGTCCAAGGTCGTAATGATTCACTTTTGTTGGCAAATGTTTTTGTTACGATACAGATATTAAATTTTTTGTTTCGTTCTAGATAACTTTTGTTGACCCGGTACCCGGTACACGTGGATTGGGATGTGAGTGCGATATTTGGTCAGTCTCCGTACTTTTTGTATCGTAATTTTTGGATACTAACCTTAAGAACGCCAGAGTAAAAACACATAAACCTACCGTCAACGCCAAGCCACAGATTCCGCGCAAATTTCTACGAAAGAAATTGGGATTCCAGTAGGGAATCAAATTGTGGATTTCGTGTTCCCGGTTCCGCTTTTTCTCATGTATTTGTGTCGTGGGCGACCAGGGACAGTATTCGCTTGTCTAGTATATGTGACATTGGCGTTCAAAAGGTTAAAGAGAATTTGAAATGATTTGAATCTACGAGACGATTTGAAACTGATAGCTTGTAGAACTTTGATTAGTTGTAGATTTTGGACTTAGTGTGTTAAACTTAGACTGAAGTTACTGTTGTTTTGAGATAGTGGTTTGGGTTTTTTAGTATTTCATGGGCGGACGGTTGGCCACTAGTTTTGGTTAGATCAAACAGAACTTGTATAAATCGGTACTTTGATTTATAGGAGAGAGAGAGTCAACACACTAATTCCCAAACTTGACTAAGGGTCTGATGTTTTGAGAAAGTTTTAGCCACATCAAACAGAACTTGAATCAATTTTCTCTCTTCGACACGACCTCTACTATAATTCCTTTAGGTAACAAGTCGATTCCTCTGAGGCCTTCTAAAGGAATCGCCCAGTCATTCTACTCCTCTAATAAATTCGAATGTAACAAACAAGTCATTATCGTATTCATCTTTTAGCAGAGAACACTTGAAAAAATGGAGATAGCGGCTGTTAAACACGGCTGTTTTACGGTACATAAAGATTTAATGTTATGACGGTAGCAGTCTGTTTGTTATACCTAATGTATTTATGTCACATAAAACGATTCAAGGGTATGTCTGAATAGGTAATGTATTACTGTGTCACTTTTTATACATAACAGATTGTTTATTGATAGTGAAACAAGTAAAAATACTTTGGTAAATAGACTAAAAAATTACATTATATAATGTAACATTAACTTTGTCTGTTGTAAATAAATATGACTTATAATAAATTATCTTTTTTTCCATAGGTTCAGCTGTTTAGGATTATGAAGAAGATGGAGTAGTTGCTTCTGTAGCTTTAAATATACATAACATAACATCACACCTTTTACCCCGAAGGGGTAGGCAAAGGTTCACATTACGGCACTTAATGCCACTGTACAATGTAACACCTACTTTTCACTATTTATGTTGTGAGTCCTATGTAATAGGGAGTGAGCCTATTGCCATATACCGGGCACATTGCCAGGCTCCGTGCTACTACTGAGATTTTTTAAAAACCCAGTAATACTTTGCCCGACCCGAGAATCGAACCAGAGATCTCTTGGTCAGTAGTCGCACTTGCGACCATTCGGCCAATGAGGCACTTTAAATATCTGTTCGTGTGAATTTTTCACTAGTTCTGTGTGTCTGTGGCCATTACTAACTCCATAGTTAAGAACATAAGAGGCCTCAAAGGTCCTCTTATATTTACCAGTCACTCCGGCGACCACTAGACCGACGAGGTAGTCTTTTGTTTACTTTTTACTTCATTCATTGTTGTTTTGTATAAAGCTCTTTTTGTTATATTTTTTGATGCCTGTCTATTGTCGTAGGTATATGTTTTAGGTATACTGTGTCTATACCGTTACGTTAGTCACGCTATGATAGACATGCTATGGTCAGGCTAAAAATGTGGCTAGGTATTTCAGGTACATAAGTACCTACCTATATATATAAGCGATGAGTCCACTACATTATGTTGTCATAACCTAAGAAGTCTGAAAAGATTACACGTAATCATCTTTAATCAACTAAGTTGAACAAATGGATTTCCTATACAGACACTGGTCTATTTAAAAATCTCTATACATATATATACATATAATCCCCTATATCTACCAAGCTATCCAGCTACCGAAATATATTTTTTCTACGAGTAAAAGGTACCTTCTCAGACAGCAAGCCAGCGGTGGGTGTCTTGTCATTAGGGTTAGACTCAGGGATCTTCTCATTGGGGTCGTCCAGGTGTATGCCTGGCCATCCTACCCAGATGCCACCACCTCTGATCACTACGGGGGCCACCGCCGTGACCAAGCCACCGGCGCTGTGGACAAAACAATACTTTAAAACAAAAATACAACTTATACATGTTACTCTGTCAGGATTTAAGAACAATTTCTTCAAAGATGTTTAAAAGGTTCTAGTATAGGTAATATTTAACCTTTATTTCTTCGCTAAATCCTACTATAGATAAGTCTGCTAAGTTATCCGACTCAAAACTGCTTATATCTTTTGTGTTTATTTTGAAATACAGTTGAATAAAACAATCAGCGCTCGTCATCTACATATGCCTTAGCAATCAAATAATAATTACTCGTATTTACACTATTTGTTCTTCAATCATTAGAATATATCATACAGTATCTACTATGTCAATATTCGCACGGAGACACAGTCCCCCTCGAGTTCAATCAAACTAAATTACTCCGTAACACGTGCTTCTAAACTAGATAAAATAACATCACGTTTTTGCAAGCAACGATACTAAATATTTTTTCACAGCTCGATAACCTATACTTTAATTTCAATAGATAAAGAACTTTATTAATTCACAGTTAAGTTGAAAATCTATTGCCAAAAATTGGAAGAAGTTTGACCCTAGCACCACTTCATTTTCAATAGATATAGAACCTTATTATTTTGTACTTAAGTCGAAAATCAATTTGCCAAATATCAGCTGATTGGAGAAGTTTGACCCTACCTACGTCACATGTTATTGTTCCAACTTATCTAGTATAATTAACTTGTGAAGTAACCCATATAATTAAAGAATCACTTTTTTGTTATTTCATAAGATGTTCTTACGTAGGTACTTAAGAATGTGATCAGTTTTGTATGCTTATATTGTTTAGTAAAATGTGATAAGATGAATTAGAAGCAGTGACTAAGCATATTTATTTTTAATTCTTCTTTAATTAAACTGTCAAACACCAAGCGGTCACCGGTGACCGCGACCTATTGTTCTTTAATTGTGTCTATAAAACCGGTACTCGACGAGTTAATAATGTAATAGGTAGGTGGTTAAAGAGCTATGCTTTCACAATCCATGTGGTGCCCGCTGCTAGTTTAAACACTTGATATATCGTATTGAAAGTCCCCAAAATTTGTTCATACAAAAGTAGTCTCTAAACCTTTGAAATAAGGTCTATGATGGAGTTAGTGCAGAGCGGCCACCGGTGACCGGTTGGGAATTGATCAGTGAAGGTTGTAGTCAGTCAAGAATATTTAGCACTGTCCTATAACCACAAAACTCAATTAAAGTTATTCAAACCAATAGGTTTGAATATGTCAATAGACAATAGATCGTTGAGAGTTAAATGAATTAAAAGAAGAGACTTGACTTCTTTATTAATTTCTACTTTGTTAAAAAGAGTTATTTATAAGACAGAGTTTGCATTAGAAACAGTTCTAAAATACTTTTTTTATTTAAACAATTTTTATTGCTGGTTTGTAAGAACCTGATGTCATTTACTCATTTTGAAAAACTAAAAATTTGTTTGCATATTAAACTGTCAAACACCGAGCGGTCACCGGTGACCGCAACCTATTGTTCTTTAATTGTGTCTATAAGACGGCACTCAACGAGTTAAGCTTCGAAAGTTAAAACAATATCATTATTAATTTCCAATATTTTTATTATTTGACGCTATAATAATTTTCCTATAAACAGTAGATCAAATCTCTATCACACAACACTATCAAAGTAAGTACCTACTATTTTAAAAACTTACTACCGCAATATTATTATTTGAATAAGAATTCTAAATATCGTGCAATATTTACTGAGACTGCGACATTTGACATATTTAAGGTCATGATACTATGGCACGCGGCCCTGGCCGTATTCCAGACATATTTTAAATAAACCAGACGACGGATATCACCATTAGTAGTTAATCGATTTAAAGAAACATTTAGCATAATTTCCTTATCAACAGAAATTATTAAATCCTTTTCCTTAAAGCGTTTAATTCTGCGGGGGTTTAGGTGTAACTACACTATATTATATCAAACAACTAGATGTAAGTACTACCTAAGTCTTTCGAAAAGTGTTGAAAGCAAATCCTTCACTAACATACTCACTGATTGCTTCTATATGTAGGTAACTATACCCTCCATACCTACAACTTCACTTAAGACAGATAACTCAAACTGTCTTTACTACATAGGAGTATATGTATAGTAAATATAAGATTAAAAAACAAATAATTTACACTATTATGGAATTCGGCATCACCACCAGACCGACTAACTTCACTTATCGGTCAAACTGATAAACAATTGAGTATTGCTACTACAATGAATGAAAACTGAATAGAAGTTAAGAGTTCCGACAGTAGTTTTTATACTGCCGTTAGCCCCAATCTTATCACTGTTGCCTTGGTATATAAAAACAATACGGTATTAATAGAAATATTATTTAAATTAGAGAATTTTAATGTATAAAATTTAACAAGATCATAATTTTTATTCTAACAGTGCTGTAGTAATGAAAATTAGAAATGGTTTCGTAGGCTTCCGTAGCAACCATTAGGCGTAGGCATTGGCTACGCCGTTAGAGCTACGTTGCTACGCACGATTGCCAAAATGACTACGCTGCTACGCACGATTGCCAATAGGACTACGCCAATTGGATCTATAAAATAGAGCGTTCAGCAACAGGGACATGGTTAATTGGAAATGGAGACATATGTACTAAGTATATGAATTAAAAATTTATGGGTTACTCGCGTGACTATACGAAACTAGTAGAGCTTTTCTCAGTATATTCACGTGAGTAACCCGCGATTTTTAGTTAATTGAAGATATATTTCTTTATTATATTATCTTTATTTTAAATACATTGTTTTAGGAGTATCTTTTTTAATCGTAATTTACGTAAGTATATTGCTACTCTTTGGTTTTAAAGCTGCATGTAGACGTCATTTAAATCGAAGCACTCGGTCTGGCGCACACTGGTCAATGAACTTTGCTACCACCGTCGCAGACTTGCCAAGATATGAGAAACGGTCACCAAAATGAAGAGGTATGAATCATACATTTAATTAAGTACATTATGGATTTTCCCAACCCAAACGAAAGGATAAAAGGTTGTTTACGGGAAAATCAATTGATTTGCTTTTGCAAGCTTTTGCAGATTCATTATGTTTTTTTTGGTAAATCATAAAAAATAAGACGTCATGTTACTGTTTCAATTTTGTAAATATTTATATAAATAGCTAATAAATGTGAGGTGTGCTTATTTTATCGCGTTCTGGGCACGCTTTAACGAGTCATCAAACCCAATAGAGTTGATGCCGATACGGAGCCGCGAAGGGTTGCCGGGGCTCCGGCTCGAAGTGCAGAAATAGGAACGGGGTTTTAGTCAGTAAGAGTCTGACACTCCTTCTTACCTCAACTGGGCGGGAGAAGTCATTGGATGGCTTTCCCCCCTCAAAGAAAATGGCATAAGCAGAGGTGTATAACAATTTAACACCTACTCTTCACCAGTTAACTCTAAGTACTACCACTGTCTTAGTTTAGCCTATTTTGGAGGTACTGGAGGCAACTTGACACCATGCTATGAAAACAAATCTTGGGGAAATAATTACCGAGCAATTTAATGCGGTATATGTGATTCCAAGTAAAATACATGCAATAAATATTTTGATTGGCTCGTATGATCTGATTGATGTGTAGTTACAAGGAACGATATGTAGGTTATCAACATTCATACGTCTTAGTTTAATTTTAGTTTCGACTTGCAGTAATATAATGATTGTCACTATCATGAGACCTAATTAAAATATCTGTTCAATTTTATAATAATTTTGCGTGTTCATATTATTATGTTGTATATTATGTATCCGAAATATATAATTTAAGATATAGTAATTATATAGTAATTAGTCGCAAAATATATTTTATCCTACAACTCATAACTTGAAAATTGATGGACTAATTTGGTTAACTATACAATGCGTATAAAAAAGGAAAATAAAAATACTTGCTACTAAATAAATCTGTAAAATTAAAAGAAAGGAACAAAAATTAAAGAGGTGATCACTACGTTTCGATTATCTTAATATTATATTATTGGGTGTCATGTGTATGTGAATTTGTATGTTTGTAAACGCACCCACGACACAGGAGAAAATCCTAGTGTGGGGCAACGTTTTTTTAAAAAAACTAAAATAAAAAAAAAAATTCAATCAAATCTAATTCAGAAAATTCTTTGTTCATTTTCAATAAAATACATATATACCTATTCATAACAACTACAATTATTAACTACTATTTATGTATTTGTATTAGTTAATCGAATTCCATGTAGATATACACACATATTCTTAAACATAGATACAAAACAAAGGATTAAGATATCTACTACCTACTGCTAATGTACCTACGACGTATCTATTACGTATGTACCTATGTGCACATAATTGTAGGTATATGTTCTAAATTCTTAATCAAAGCGTGCAAATATAACAGTACCTATACACGCGTAACCTAATATTAATATATAGGTACCTAGTTATATATGTATATAAGTATGTTAATTCAACATAGTGCATGACTCTATCTACTTATTATTATGAATCAAATAAATAATCTACAATTTTCCTTATTGATACTTTGCAAGCGAAGTCACAGTAAATTACTAAGAAATTTATAATGAATCTAATTAACCTAGATATTTTAATTAGTATCGATTATTATTTATTTGTATGGAGTGGATTGCATCGATTTGTAATTGTTATCATTTGATGTTTTAGTTTATGGTATCTACTGTCGATGTAGTCTTGATAAGGATGACTTAAAATTTGATTTTTATATTTTTATAACGTAATAATTATATCGTGCAAATTTTTTCAGCTGATTATTGTGTTTAATTAATGTAATTTTTTGCTCGTTGTTCGATGAAATAGTCGACGATATTTATGGAATGAATAGAATTTACGATACCGCTACTCGTTAATCGTTTTGCAATCGATTATCGATAATTTTCAGTACAGGAATAAATAACAATAGTCATTTACAAGTAATCTTGTAAAACTGATGAACAACTGAATTTGTTTTTTATTCTAAAAAACAAACAATGTACAGCATTGACAATGTCGTGGTGAATCAATTAGCGTAGCTGTGTCATGTAGTGACCTTGGAACTAGACATTCAAGACCAAGGCCCCACAATCTACATTACAACAACCATGTACAAGCCCCATGTATGCAAATATCCCTAATCACCACACACAACACGACCAACTGTAATATAACACTACAAAAGGTTTAACGCATCATTAATTCACCAACATTCAATCTAACTGGACATAACTGCTATGCCTTTTTAATTAAGTCGGATTATACTCGTATTTTGTTATGGAAATCCACCGGCAACAGCTGATACCTCGCGCTGTATAAATGCCGGCTTACGAGTTTATAAATGAGATCACGCACTGTTAAACAAAATTCCTAACGGTAAGCACGGTACATGAGACGCGATTCATGCAGTTTTTAGTTGTATGTAAGTCAGGAAATGCAGTATCCGATCGAACTGTACGTGGAAGCTTCCCGAAATGTACCGATACGTACCGCGCACACTCCCCGGCCCTTTCTAGAACCCGCTCCCATTTGCAATTCAATGGATTGTAAACACAATATGAAATGGATATTTTGAGGCACTTATAATACTGTAAACAGAGTAACTAACTACAGTTTATTTTGAGATATTTCACATAAAACACCCGTATTAACACAGCACTGTAAACTGCGATCGTTAAGTCTGATTGTTATTGACATTTTTATAGTAAAACCTTTAAAGAAAAATAATGGATACGTTTACGAAAACTGTGTACAGTACCTGGCTTTCCTCTCGAGATCGCCGGTTTTGTCATTCCTCCTCAAAATAAAAGGCAATCTGTTCGACACAACAATCATGCTGCCCTTGCTGTTGCACGCGGATCGACTGGCACTGATGTCCGTTCCACTCATGTTTTTGCTTTCTTTGCTAACGTTCCTATTCACGACCAATCACAAAGTCGCCTGCACGCATGCGCGACCGAAAACGGAGGGATTTTCGAAACAAAATGTTTATTCAGCACTGTGTTTATATTGTTTTTGTCATCGCAAGTAACTCAGACGTTGTATATTCCCGCGCTGTTGTTCAGAATGTCTAAATTGACATCATGGACGGAGATCGAAGGCGTACTGTTTCTTTTGTGTGCGTCGGGTGCCTTTATAGACTATGCGAGACGCGTCGCAGAAGGGCGAAGTGGTTGCGTGCGTCTGTGAGGCGGCGGCGGAGGTCCGCGGTGTCGTTGAAAAGAGGTTATCACTCATTGACCTCTCTTCAAGAATTGTCTTGCATCTTATCCGACTGAAAATGCGAATTCGGTGTTTGTGATTATTAAAACATGATGCTTGACTGCGGCTAATGTATCCGAATTTGATAAAACTATGAGTAAGTATAAACTTTATTCACTAAATTGAATTAGAACTGGGCCAATGAAAATAAATAATATTTTTATTAGGTCACTGATAATATCTTCTTAGTGATTTTGTGACGGATACGTATGTTTTGTTTTTGGTTTAATTATATATTGCGTAAGGAAATACCTATGTAAAATCCTTTAAGAATGAAATCTTTTACTTTACACCTAAAGCAAGCTTAATTTGAATTACAGATCGCGTAATTTTTTTTTAAATGGCAAGTGTGGTTATTACTTTTGAGACAAACAATATCAATGCTGTATAGATTATTTTTCGAAAAGAAAAGAAAAGATGATGAGCACATAAGCAGACATAAATTAAATAATTAATAACAATGAATGAGTATCGCAAAGATGAGTTGTCTGTAGGTTCATGAACACATTCACTTAACGACCAAGTAATCGTTACAAAAACCTTGGACAGGCTGTTTACACTGGCATACAGGATACGAGCACTTTTATAAAACAAACAATTTTCTCATTGTGATTTTTAAATTTAACTATAGAATGCTATTTTTTAAGCCCGAAGGAATGTGTTCAGGTGTATTTACTGTACATTCTCTAGTTGCCAGTTCTGTAAGGCATATGTGTATACATATAAAACCTATAGGTTTTTATCCTTCGGTAACTTATTAAGGGACTATTGCTATTGTGCCATTTTTTAAAGATAGTATTTATTTAACTTGACTAATATACTAATACTAATACTAATATTAAAACTAATTTTATAACTATGACTAATAATTAAATTACTTTTGAACGATAACAATACAATAAATGTACACTTCCAAAGGCACCTTTAGTGAAAGACAAAAAAAAGAAATAAAAAAGAAACAATAGGACACCCGAACCCTAATAGAATCTCCATCAAACTTAGCAGTCGATCTAACAACCACACGACGAACGAAGGCAGTAAAGTAAAGGGGCATTTAAAAATAATTAAAAGTTCTAATTAATAGATGCATCTAGAAATGCATCGAATTCCATTATAGGATATAAATATATAGAATTGAATATGTATAATCTTTCTGGCAATGTGCCTGTTATCGATAGAATTTATCTACCGTGTTTTAGGAAAACTGTTTCACTGCACGGGAATAGTTTTTCCGTGATAGTGTGTCATGGTGTTAGTGTTGTGATGTGTGCGTGGCTTATGCGTGTTGCGCACGCGCGTGTCGCGTGCCACACTGACTCCTGCGCATGACGAAAACACGGGCGGCTGAATGAATGACTGAATGACTCCTCACCGTGGTTTATTACATATACAAGTGACGTAGACCAACATGTGCTATTGTTTACAAGTATTACAATATTTGATTGGTTATTGTTTAGATTTTCGGCGGACCTTGAATTTATTTGGTGGCTGATTGCTGGTGCTTGAGTTGAGTGGTCGCAAGTGGAACTGCGAATAAAGAGGTTTTCCCATTTAATGCCATTAATAAGTGTGTTACAATTTTTTCGTTTTAAAAATATATAGTGGTTAAACGTCGGCCAATATAAAAAAGGCTCTATTATAACATAACCGAAGGAAACTTTTATTTCAATTTAATTAACACTTAAGGTAGCACATATATATTGGTTAGTTAACGGGCAACATATAAACGGTCCTATTACATGCCTAGAGTATTATATTATTGTTTTATTATGATTACACATGTGTTATTTAACACCTACCTATGAAATCTTTGTGAGTACGAAATTAATGAATTGTTACAAGTTACATATAGTGGTTCATTATTCGTTTATTTACTTTATATGTTTATAAAATGCAGTTTTTCATTAATTTGGTACATCATGGAAGTTGATATGCGGTATATTAGTATATGTATATGTACTGTTATGTAGATACTTACTTAAGTAATATAATTATGTTTGTCTATTTTTATTTAATTATTAATAAATAATTACATTTTTTATGATAACGGATCGCATGTAAATCGCTGATATACCTCTATATCAGAAATATCTATTTAAACAACATAACATCACGCCTTTTATCCCCGAAGGGGTAGGCAGAGGTGTACATAATGCTACTGTACCATCCAACACCCACTTTTCACTATTTATGTTATGAGCCCCATTTAATAGGGGGTGATTTTTGAAAAACCCAGTAATACTTTGCCCGACCCGGGAATCGAACCCGAGACCCCTTGCCCGGCAGTCGCGATCACTCGCCAATGAGGCAGGCATCTACATATAAACACTTTATTAATATAAAATCTGTATTTCACAATAATAAGTGCTAACTTATTTCATCCAAGTAAAATCCACAAATTAGCTTAAATAGGATAAATAGCGATCGATAATGTTTGCTAAATGATCTCGAAAATTGATTACGTAAAGTCGGCTGAATGATAAACTTGGTGTCAAGTAAATCACGCCATCATCGTCATGGAAACTTTATTTCAATTGAACTAAACATGCAACTCGCTAACTAAACACGATGTCAATTGAATACTATTGAATAGTGATACTTCACAGTTTGACACATTGAATTTTTTACTAGCTTCCGCCCGCGACTTCGTACGCGCAATCCCGATATTTCCCGTTCCCGTTCTTGATTTTCGGTAAAAAGTAAAAAAAAAGAATTGGGTAAAAAGTATCCTATGTCCGTCTCCTGGTTCTCAGCTACCTCCCCACCAATTTTCATCCAAATCGATTTAGCCATTCGAGTTATAAATAGTGTAACTAACACGACTTTCTTTTATATATAGATTGTATACGGCAGCAGACGGATCCCCTGATAGTAAGCAATCGGCGTCGCCCATGCATATCAGCAACTTCAGAGGAGTAATAAGTGCATTATCGAAATTATGGGGATAAGGGATTAGATATAGGGGACTGGTCGCAAGTACGACTGCCGGGCAAGGGTTCGATTCCCAAGTCGAGCAAGTATTATTGGGATTTTTAAATTCTCAGTAGTAGCACGGAGTCTGTAACTGTGCCCGGCATATGGCAATAGGCTCACCTCCTATTACATGGGACTCATAACATAAATAGTAAAAAGTGGGTGTTATATTTATTGTACAGTGGCATAATGTGCACCTCTGCCTACCCCTTCAGGGATAAAAGGCGTGATGTTATGTTATGTGTTACAGGGGAGGATTGGGCCTCCAGTAACCTCGCTCACACGGCGAAACAACTCGAGTGTTGTTATTGTTACTCTCCGGTATTCGTGCCGTGGTACTTCGGACGAGCCGGCCCATTCGTACTAAAACATCGCTCACTCACGTGGAAAAGTGCCATTCCCACGTGTATCAGCATGTAATAAAGTTTATGGCAATATAATACTGTGATTGAGATATTCGCATACTCAAGCACTATATTAGTATTACTGTTTATATCATAAACGTGTCATACACGTGAGGGAAATAGCTATTTAATAGAAATATGGCTGAAATAAAATTAATTATTACCTGTGGAAAATATACAGTTTGCGCGCAATTAAGTTAATATTGTCTTATGCACTGTTATCTAGGTAAACTGGTAAATGTATGCGGTTTCATATTTACAGGATTTAATTGTGTTTATAATTATAAAGCCTTATGCAATGCCAGTGCTAAATGTGGGCGATCTAGAAATTTCGTTTTTTGTATCGAAAGTGCATTTTTTTTATAGCATAAGCCGGTAAACGACGGATTACCTGATGGTAAGCAATCGGCGTCGCCCATGAACACCTGGAACACCAGAGGCCTTTTGGGGTTTAGGAGTTTGAGGATCGTTGGGGATTCAGGGATTGGGGAGATTGGGGAAGGGGAAGGTAATTGGGCCTCCGATAACCTCACTCACATGACGAAACACAACGCAAGCGTTGCTTCACGTCGGTTTTCTGTGAGGCCGTGGTATCACTCCGGTAGAGCCGGCCCATTCGTGACGAAGTATGGCTCTCCCACACTTAAAATTCACCAATTCTTTCTCTTTTGTATTATGCTTGACGTCCTCTCCAATGAATGCAATCTTAGGGTAGTCTTTAGGTTCTAAAAGAGGTTCTCAGTTTGACCTGTATGTATGTTTGTGCGCGATTGTTTCGCGACTGACGGAACCGATTTTGATACGGTTTTCAGAAAAAGGTTTGTTATATACCCATGTACTTAGAAGAACGTTTAAGAACAATACTCGACTTGTAAAAAAAGGGGTTGAAGTAAGTATTTTTAGACGTACCTAATTTCATCATGATTCACTATTCATTAGAAAGATGAACTAATAGAATGAAGAATAAGAAACCTGCAATTACAGAGTGTTAAATGTGTCTCTTTTAAAATATCAAAACTATCAAAATGTAATGAACATAATTAATATTGTATTGGGATGCATAAAAATATGGTTCACGCGTTTACATAACACAGTTCAATTAATGATGATAAAATAATCATTGTTTAAATATTTACATTCAGAGATTGGTGCATGCGTATAAAAATCATTACAGACCTTGACTTTTGAAAAATGATTGACTGCAAGTGCTGGTATTTAATTAATTTAGGAAACTCGCTGAAACACAACGCA